AGGGCAGTTAGGGGCAATCAGGCAGGCAGGCAGGTGAACAGTTAGGAGCCAGCAGTCCCGGGTTGTGAGAGGGGTGTCCGGCTGCCGGTTTAGGCCAGATAAACCGGCAGTCGGACATTTCCCGAGGGGTCCTGGATTGGAGAGGGTTCAGGCTGGGCTGAGGGAACCCCCTCCCATGCATGAATTTCATGCACTGGGCCTCTAGTACAAAATAATATTGTATGTAAACTGTCATTGGGAAAAAAAAAAAGATCAGAAAAGTAGCTTCTGGGGCCTCTGCAGAGGTGTGGGCAGAGTTCAGGAAAATGGGGATGTTGAGGCACTCAGGGGCCAGCAGCTTGGGGAGCTTTTACTTCTCCTAGTCCAGAGGCGCTGGGGCGAGCAGGCTTGGAGCGTGCAGGATGAGCAGAAGAGAGGAGGGAGTGGGAATCCTTCAAACTTTCCCCCATTCTCCCACCTCTCATTGGTGCTTCCTATTGGCCAAATCTAACAGGAAGGAAGAAGGCAGGGGTTTCTGGGAAATGTAGTTTTCAGGACCCGGGGGAGAACAGAAGAGGGTGGAGATAAGATGGGGGGGGGGGGAGGGGGAAGCAAAGGGAGAATGACGGCTGTGCATCCTTAAAGGCCTCCACCTGTACCCCCCACCGAAGCGATGTGAACGGGTCCAAATGACCTCCACGTGGCCTGAGGACCCGGAGGCCACGTGTAACCCTGCCCCTGCCGCTTCCGGAACACGATGCTACCCATCTCTGGGTATCCAACTTGATTCCCGTTCCAGAAGTCCCTCAAGTTGGTTCAATCTTTCTTTCTTCCATTTCAGCTGCCAGGAGTTCTTACCACCTTGTTGCTGTTTGTGAAGCTGGGCTGACAGACCTGGGAGGACAGGACACCTGGGCACACCTGGCTGTTGGAGATGTGGTCTCGTTTTTGTTTCTCTGTGGAACTCACTGTTTTGTTTGTTTTTAAGGGAGATTGATAATAAAAGTTTGGGGAAACTTCTGTCATCCCGACTCCTTTCCCCTTCGCTTTATTTAGTTATTTTTCTTTTGTTTTGTTTTTTCCTTCGCTTTATTTTTCATACTAGCTGGCAATGATTTTAGTTCACATGCAGCTGTCTTGTTTGGTAAATTATTATGTGAAAAAAAAAAATATTCACAAAAGCCCTGGCCGGTTTGGCTCAGTGGAGAGAGCGTCGGCCTGAAGGGTCCCAGGTTCGATTCCGGTCAAGGGCATGTACCTTGCTTGCGGGCACATCCCCAGTAGGGGGTGTGCAGGAGGCAGCTGGTCGATGTTTCTAACTCTCTATCTCTCTCCTTTCCTCTCTGTAAAAAATCAATAAAATATATTTTTTAAAAATATTCACAAAAGATAACTTGTCCAAAGAAACCCCCATGTACTCCTAACCAGGACTCAGCAATCACCAAGAATTTGACATTATTTGTTTCATTATCCCTTTCTCTCTCTCTCTTTTTTTAAAATATGTTTTTGAGGAGAACCAAGCTGGCAGCAAACATAAACACAGGTACTTGCCACCTTGCACAACCACATCGAAATTACAATACAATACAGAACAGCCATCATTGAGAACTGCCTGAAAACTGGCTGAACAGAAGTCCTACAACTAGAGAAGTAAAGAAGAAAGTACATCGAGACTAATAGGAGGGGCGGAGGCCCACACCAAGACACATCATAATTAAAATGCCAAAGGTGAAAGACAAAGAGAGAATCTTATAAGCAGCAAGAGAAAAGCAGTTTCCTACCTACAAGGGAGCACCCATACAACTTCAGCTGATTTCTCAACAGAAACTTTGCAGGCCAGAAGGGAGTGGCAAGAAATATTCAAAGTGATGAAAAGCAAGGACCTACAACCAAGATTACTCTACCCAGCAAAGTTATCATTTAGAATTGAAGATCAGATAAAGAACTTCCCAGATAAGGAAAAGCTAAAGGAGTTCATCACCACCAAACTAGTATGACATAAAATGTTAAAGGGTCTTCAAGAAGAAGAAGAAGAAGAGATAAAATATCAAAAATATGAACAATAAAATGGCAATAAATGCATGCCTATTAACAATTGAATCTAAAAATCAAAATAGCCCTGGTTGGTTTTGCTCACTGGATAGAGCATCGACCTGCAGACTGAAGGGTCCCGGGTTCGATTCCAGTCAAGGGTACATGCCTGCATTGCAGGCTCGATCCCCAATAGGAGGCGTGCAGGAGGCAGCTGATCAATGATTCTCTCTCATCATTGATGTTTCTATCTCTCCCTCTACCTTCCTCTCTGAAACCAATAAAAATATATTTTAAAAAATAATAATAAATAAATAAAAATAAATGAGTAAGGAATCTAATGAACAAAATAAACTGATGAATAAAATATAACCAGAGGCATGGAAACATGGAACACACTGGTGAATCTCAGAGGGAAGGGGGGTGGGGTGCTGAGAAGAGATTAACCAAATAATTTATATGCATATATGCATTACCTATGGACACAGACAATAGGTGGTGAAGACCTGCAGTGAGGAGGGAACCAGGTGAAGGGAGGCAATGGGGGAGAGCAGGGGAACATCTGTAATACTCTCAACAATAAAGGTTAAAATGAAATTTAAAAACGTATAAATTTGTGTTCACAACCCTAATGCCATTATAACATCAGACTGAATACGTGTGTCTTCCCAACATTTGTATGTTGAAACCTAATCCCCAAGGTGATGGCATTAGGAGGTGATTAGGTCATGAGTGTGGGGCCCTCATGAATGGGATTAGTGCCCTTGTAAAGAGACTCCAAAGAGCTCCCTCACCCCTCCCTCCATCTGAGGACACAGTAATCTGCTGGCACTGTGGTCTTGAACTTCCCAGCCTCTAGAACTGTGAGAAAAAAATGTTGTTTATAACCCACCAAGTCTGATATTCTGTTATAGCAGCTTGAATGGACTAAGACAACAGCTAAGACAATTAGCAGCCATTCTTTGGCATCACCAAACACACAGGCCATCATCGAATTCCTCTAATTGGCTCCAAATATCACTGTGCATTTTGTTTCTTTGAATTGGGATCCAAACGAGCTCCACATGTTATGTGTGTCATGTCTTCTACGTCCCTTTTATTTGAACCCAGTAGCCCTGAAATCAGAGCACACATTGCAATCTTCTAGATCAGCGGTTCTCAACCTGTGGGTCGCGACCCCTTTGGGGGTCGAACGACCCTTTCACAGGGGTCGCCTAAGACCATCGGAAAACACATATATAATTACATATTGTTTTTGTGATTAATCACTATGCTTTCATTATGTTCAATTTGTAACAATGAAAATACATCCTGCATATCAGATATTTACATTATGATTCATAACAGTAGCAAAATTGCAGTTATGAAGTAGCAACGAAAATAATTTTATGGTTGGGGGTCACCACAACATGAGGAACTGTATTAAAGGGTCGCGGCATTAGGAAGGTTGAGAACCACTGCTCTAGATGTTTTGTTAAAGACCCAATCCCTCTACCAGAGCTTCTGACTCAGGAGATCTTGAGGGCCAGGGGTCTGCATTCCTAACACATTCCCAGACAATGTTTCGGACACAGGAAAGACACTTTGAGAACCGGCTGCTCTAGATTTCCTCCTTTTTCCCAACCCCACCTACCTTGGATTTGTTGCAGGAAGAGTGTGGAATGCTGGGAATTCCACACCTTCTGGTTTTGCTGTGTCTGCCCTGTGGTGCCTTTACCTTGTTCCTCTCTCCCCTGTATTTCCTATAAATCACTTGTTCTCAGCCCTGGCTGTACACTGGAACCCCCTGGGAATTTACCAAAATACTCAAGCTTGGACCCCAGGGTTACCAAGCAAGACCTAATGGACATAGAAGCCAATGCTAGGGCACTAGCTTCTCCTTTTTTCTTTTAAAAATATATTTGTATTGATTACAGGGAGAGAGGTGGAAATATCAATGATGACAGAGAATCACTGATCGGCTGCCTCCTGCATACACCACACTGGGGATCGAGCCCGAAACCCAGACATGTGACCTGGAATCAAACTGCGAACTCCTGGTTCATAGGTCAATGCTCAACCACTGAGCCATGCCGACCGGGCTATGGCACTAGCTTTTGAGGAGGAAAAAGAAAGCTTTTATTGTGAGGTCAACCTGCAAAGAGACAGGAGGCAAGGCTCAAGTCTGTCTTCTCCTTCCCGGGCTTGGGGCCAGGTAGCTTAGTTGGTTAGAGTGTCGTCCTGAGATACCAAGGTTATGGGTTCAATCAGGGCACATACAAGAATCAACCAATGAGTGCGTAAATAAGTGGAACAACAAATTGGTGTTTCCCTCACTCTCTCTCACTCTCTTTCTCTCCCTTCCTTTCTGTCTCTAAAAATCAATAAATAAAAATGAATAAATAATGCAAGATGTTTCAACACCAGATCTTCCTGGACAACAGGCCCTTTGCTTCTGAAAGGGTTTCATCAGGTTCCGATCTTGTCCTGGTCCTTTGTTTCTGCGGGGGGAGCAGCGAAGGGTTCACAAGGGGTACGCACAAGGGGTATATCGAGGTTCAAACTTTGGTCTTTGGTTCTGGGTCCTGTTGGTGCGAATCCTGAGAACGAAGATACCTACTAACAAGGGTTCCTAACTGGGCTCAAAATTTTAAAAACAGAGCCTGGCAGCCGTTTCTACACAGGAGCCTCTCACACAAACTGCACTCCAGGGAGAAGTCTGCACTGAACTGCTTGCCTCTGCACTGACTCGCCTGCCTGTACTGCTTCTGCCACCTGAGCCAGCCCTGATGAAGGAGTTCCTGGAATCCTATTTCAACCCATAGGACTGAGGCTTTCCCCATCCAACTGGAGCTGCAAAGGTCCGGTCAACTAGAGCAGTTCTATTCTGACCAATTAGGACAGTGCCTTTTGGACCAATCAAACTGCCGAGGATGTGGAGCCCTCGTTTGCATGAGGACACACCAATCAGGGACCAGGGGTGGGGACTTGTGTCTATATAAGCCAGCTCTCCTGCGGCTCTGGGAGCACCCTCTCCTTTCCACCTAAGGCTGAAAGGAACAGAACAGGCCAGAAGGCAGTGGGCAGGTCACTGCAGCACAGAGCTGACCACACAGCGGACCAGTGCAGACCAGCCAGGGGCAGAGCCGCCTAGTTGGAGGGTGGCCTGGCCCCAGGGCTGCCTCACAGCTGTGCTGTATCACAATTGAGGTGCTTTGCACTGTGTAATTTCTTTCTTCACCACACCCCGACTGGGGATTCCTATTGTTGTTGAATCGGCACCAACATCCATCAGTTGACATTAGAAACAGGATAGGACCCGTTTGAACTGGTTCTGTGGTTACACCATCTCTCCATCTTCTGATTTAATTGGACTGGGCTGTGGCCTGGGCATGGGGACTTATTACATTTACCCAATTAAGGGGTGGCCATGGACACTGCTGAGAATCAATAAAACCAGGGTTTCATCCAGTGACCATAGCAGACTGAATGGATTCTTCCACTGGGGGTTGCCAATGGTAATTTATCTAATGTTTCCATCTTTCTTTGGGGAGGATAATAAAATGGGCACAGTCCTATTTGCTATTGGTGCAATCAACTGCCACTCAGTAAAACACACCTAGCTTTCTTTGAACCAGCCCACCTCTCAGATTTCTGTCCCTAAGTTAGGGGCAGGCAAATACTCCCAGCCAGCCAATCAGCACGTTTCATCGGTCTCGACCTCAGTCATTGGTTCAGGCATGGACTGGGACCCAGGTGGCCAAGAGACCTGGTTTGGGGAAGTTAACTAGGGTTATCAGGAAAGAGTAGCTTCCACCATCCCCACAGCCCCCACCCTTGTCCCCCCGACTCACACGGTTCAGAGGGGGCCACCTCACAGGGTCGAGGCTACAGAGAGAAGGCACAGAGAGCAGGGATGAGAATCCTGCTACCATATGCAAGTCTTTGGACCTAGCTCACTCCGGCTCTGCAGTTCATTCATTCACTGAACAAACATCTGTACAGTGCCTGCTGCATGTCAGAAACAAACTGTTTGTACTCACACTTCTGACACCAAATATGTGGGGATTTTCCATATGAAGCAAATCTGCAGGCATCAACCGGGGTCCTACAATTCAATTCAATTCTGAAACTAACTACCCAGAGCCCACATCAGAAGCCACAGGTTTAAGGGCTCAGTCTCACAGGATTGCCCCCATCTCAGATGCCAGTGGCAAGAATTATGTCCCCAGGTGAGACACACTTCTGAGCTGGTTACAGCCAGGGGTTTCCCGCCTTCTTCCTTCCATTTCAGGTTTGATAACTAGAATGACTCACAAAACTCAGGAAAGCATTTGACCCGTTATTACATTTATTACAAAAGCTACAACTCGGAATAAAAACATATTTAAAAATATAAATAAGCCAAAACCGGTTTGGCTCAGTGGATAGAGCATCGGCCTGCGGACTGAAAGGTCCCAAGTTCGATTCCGGTCAAGGGCATGTACCTGGGTTGCGGGCACATCCCCAGTGGGAGATGTGCAGGAGGCGGCTGATCGATGTTTCTCTCTCATCGATGTTTCTAACTCTCTATCTCTCTCCCTTCCTCTCTGTAAAAAATCAATAAAATATATTAAAAAAAAAATAAAAATAAATAAATAAAAAAAAATAAAAATATAAATAAAAGCTACAACTCAGGAACGGTGAGACGGAAGAGATGCACAGGACAAGGTATGGGGGAGGGGTGTGGGATTTCCATGCCTTCTCTGGGCGTACCACCCTCCCAGCATGGCCATGTGTTCACCAACCCGGAAGTTCTTCCATAGTTTAGGGTTTTCATGGCGGTTTCCTTACAAAGACGTGATTGATTAAATCGTTGGCCATTGGCGATTCACTCTATCTCCAGCCCCACTTCTCCCAGGTCAGGGGGCAGGACTGACAGTGCCAACACTCTAACCATGGCTTGGTCTTTCTGGAGACCAACTCCCATCCTGAAGCTACCACCCGCTCCCCCAGTCCTCTGGGTAACATACAAAAGACACTCCGGAGATAACGGTTTTAAGAGATGTGTGCTAGGAACCAGGGACAAAGACCAAGTATTTCTTTTTTATTGTAGGAGACAGAACAGAGCTGGGGGTGGCAGTGAAATATTTTTAAATCCCTACCTTTAGCTGACACTATTGGAGGAGATACTTATTGAAGTTAAATGAAATAGTACTTTATATTCTAGGGGCTATGGGAAGGAGGGGTTGCAGTACTAAAGTACTAAATTGTGAGGGAAGTAGGGGGAGGGGTGCAGAAGGAGAAGGTGAAATTTGTGGAAAGACCTGAAAGAGGAAGTGAGAGAGGGGAGCTTTGCGACTACCTGGGGTAGGAGAGTTCCAGGCAGAGGAACAGCTAATGCGAGGGCCCTGAGGCAGGGGCCTGGTGTGTTCAAATAGCAGCTAGGAGGTCAATATGACTGGAGCAAGGCAGGTGGGAAAAGTTGAGAGCAAGGAGGTGGCTGATGAGGTCAGGCAGCACCTTGTAGGACACAGGGAGACTTTGGCATTTACTCCCAGGCGGGTGGGAGCCATGGAGGGTTCTGAGCAGAGGGATGTGACCAGACTCGGGTGCTCACAGGCGCCCCCTGGCGGCTGTGGTGGGGGACAGGCCTTCCTAGTTGCATTAGTTGGAGCAACATTATCCTCTCTGCCCTCCAGGCAGAGGCAGTTTCCAGGGCCAAAGCGGTGGCCTGGAGTTCCCGCTAGACAGCCCCAGGCCCGAGCCACCCTGGACTCACGCGGGATCTGCTACAACCGCATGGCCCTCAACCCTCTGCTTGGCTGTGAGTCAACTGCCCTCTTCCTGGAAGTCGCATTTCACTAATGGAAATAAAAAAACAACTGCATCTGGGCACAATGGCTTTAATTGTTTTTTCGTGTGGAGAAAAGTGCAACGTCTTTCCAATGGTCATCAAAGAATCGCTTACGCAGGAGAGCCACATCCAGGGCAGAAGTGAGCAGGCCGAGGGCTCTCTCCGTAGTGTTTTGGGATCATGGGGGAGAAGAAGCCAGTTAGCAGAATTAGCGCTTCCACACGGAGACCAAATTTCACCCTTTGCTTGTTTTTCTAAGTTTAGTTGGAGAGAATGACACAAGAACATGACCCCCAGAGAAGCCAGGAAAAAAAAAGAAAGCAGAACCCTAAACCACAGCAATCATGGCAGTTTCCCACCGAACTGCCTGTGGAAAGACAAGTTGCTAAAAGCAAATGGTAAGAAGGGACAGCACCCAGGCAGGACCCAGCCTCAGGCGAGGGCTCCCGGCCGGCTCCCGGCAGCTGGGGGGTGGTTTTCCCACAGCCTTTGGTTTATTTTTGTTTGTAAACTCAACAAGCCTCCCTGCCCTCAGTGACCCGGGAGGACATCAATTTCGGTTCCCCAGAGGCTATCTTGAGCGAACACTCCCCCCCCCCCCAAACGTCATGAAATAAAAACTTGCATTATTTTTAGAAGAAACAAAAATACATATTCTGCTCCTACGTGCGTCCCAGACTTGAGAGAACCCGGCGGCAGCTGTCTCGGTTGTTACTTGAAGCTGAACGGTTGAAAAACTCTGTGCACACAGAAAGCTTAGACCGAGTCAGATACACGATGCGGCCATCGCTGCATCACACGGCCGTGGTAATAGGCTGGTCCCTCTTGACCCACCGTTTTTCCTGGCAGCAGCTCGGCGAGAATGGACCGGCCAGTGACATCTTGACAGCCCGTGGTGCAACTTAAGAAGACTTTTAACTAATTTAATTTCACTTTTATGTTAAAGCAAGGAACATTTCTGATTTCAGATCTTCTCACTTCGTGTGTCTCCCAAAGCTTGGTCCTTTCGCCAGTCGTTTAACTTGTTGGTGTACAAAGATATCCTCACTCTGACAGTCTCAGGGCAGACCCGGATACGGGGCACGTAGGGCCCTCTAGAAACAGGTTCTATCTAGAGTTTCCAGAAAGGCGGGAGCTAATCTTAAACTTGAACCAGGCCTTCCCCATACCGCAGCGGAGGAGGCGGAGACCTTTAAGGCTACAGGAGGTTGTCTTGCCAGCAGGGGCTGGGACAGTAGGATTGGGGACACAAACTATCGGTGCAGGCTGTCCTCACAGTGTCTGTCAAGTTATGGGGTGTCGGTTGGTGTTCCAGGGCAGAAAGGGCCACTGAGCTGTACGGGGTGCGTGTGAAGAGGGTAGATCCCCAAACTGCACATAACCTCCCGCAGCAGGAGCCCGGGGCAGCTGGGAACCCGAGCCTCACCCAGGGAGACTGACCCCAGCCCATCCCCCATCGGCCTGCCACTCCCAAGCTGTATCATGAAGTGCAAGAGGCAGCCGCAGTTACACAGCCCTACCCTCTCACTCCTCCAGCCCAAACCCCAAACATTCCTGAGAGTGATTCCTCCGTTAGCAAAAAGAGGTCCCATCTCTGGGCCCCACCGATGACATGGCTCAGGACGCGGACCCTGGGTCTTCAACCGGTGCTCAGGTGAAAGAAGCCCAAGTCCTTACAGCAGAAAGTCACCAGCAAGAGAGGGCTATGGGAACATTGCTCAATTTCCTTCTCTAGCCGGATGTGAGATGTGGAAAGACCTTGCTTAAAACATCACCAAATGGGCCCAGGGAGGCAGGTTTGGGCGGGAGGGCCGGGGCTCCTGGCTCTGAGGTTAACTCCTGGCAAAAAGCCCCAAATGGTAAGGCCAGGGGCTTGGCGATTCTCTGCCTGGCTTAACACGGTACCTCATTCCAGAACTCAATCCCGGATCGGGGCACCATGGATTAGCCAAAACAGTGGCAGGGTCGTGGTGATGCGGAATTCTGGGGAAACTCAGAAGGCACTTCGGGGTCCCCAAAGCCAGGGGGTTCTGACCCCCTATCCCTCCCCAACAGGAAAAGCTGCTTTAATACTGTTCTCACAGACAGAGGATCTGCAGGCCAGAAGGGAGGGGTCTACCAGGGCCAAAGTCACCTCCCCACCTTGGAGCCTTGAGATCAGAGATCGACGGGCAGGCTCGGGATCAGAGCAGGGGACCCCGAGCAAGGAGCCTCCTTCCCCATCTCCAAGGATGAACTCGGAGAACCCGCATGGCGGGAGGAAGAAGGCTAACCCCTTCAGCAGCTCGTGAACTCCAGACAAGGCCCAGCACAGGACGGATGTGGACAATGGCTCGAACCCAGAAGGCACTGTGGAAGCCCCACAGGCTGCCCATGTGCGCCCGCTGAAACACCGGAAGGCAGCAAGCACGTGCATGTCAACATCCCCAGACCCTGCCTCTCATGCAGAGTCCTGGGGTCTGGAGCTTGCGACAGGGGCTGCTTGGGCAGCTGGCGGCTATCGTGAGGAAACGAGCCATGCGGGCAGTGAGGGGCAGCTGACAGCTGACAGGAGGGAAGGGGGGCGCCCTGAGCTTGAAAATAGCCCTTGTGGCTCATGCCTCAGTCACATTCCCTGCCCAGGCAGGAGGGGGTGGGTGGGGGTTGGGTACCCTCTCTAGCAGCTACAGCTGCTAGGCTGGGGAGGTGGGGCATCTCCCAAGGCGGGGCCTTTCCCATTGCTGCCCGGGCTGGAGCTGGGATCCAGGGACTCATTCATTTTCTCACAGATGACATCCACCAGGCGCTCGAAGACCTGCTTCACGTTGATATTCTCCTTGGCACTGGCCTCGAAGAACTCGAAACCTGGACGGACATAAGTGGGGACACCTGTGAGACCCTGCAAGGCATAGGTTGGGCTGTGGCATCATCCAAATCTGGGTTCCAAGCCCACTTCTGTCTGTTAAGCAGCTATGGGACCTTGGCTGAGTGCCTTAGTCTCTCTGAGCCTCAGTGGGCTTGTCTATAAAATGGGAACCATGTTCCTAAAAACCTGTGATAGTCCTGGCTGGTTTGGCTCCGTGGATAGAGCGTCGGCCTGCGGATTGAAGGGTCCCGGGTTCGATTCCCATCAGGAGCGCCTGCTCAGGTTACAGGCTCAATCCCCAGTGGGGGGCATGCAGGAGGCAGCTGATCAATGATTCTCTCTCATCATTGATGCTTCTATCTCTCTCTCCCTCTCCCTTCCTCTCTGAAATAAAAAACAAACAAACAAAAAACCTGTGACAGAAGCCCTGCTCTGAACTACCCTAAGAAGCTCTTTGTCCCAGGGCAGTGGCTGCAAGAGTCCAGGGAGTAACATTGTGGTGCCTAGAGGGATGGGTACCCACGGGTGGCTTCGACTTACCTTCCATGCAATTGTACTGCCGAGGAAGGTACCGCAAGGCTGCCCACAGAACTAGGAATTTATCTCGACTTCAGAAATGTTCTGGAAAATGTGCTTCAGACCAAGTAAAACAGAGCTGAAGACTGGCTTCAGCCTGGGCGGCTACCAGTCTGCCGTCCCTGTCGGGTTCCCCAGTGTCTGTGGAGAGTGTGTGATAAGTTCCTGGCCTATAGAATGCACTAAAAATGGTAATGGTGATAATAATAATAATTAATAATAATAATAAGTGCTTATATCATGTTTACTATGTGTCAGGCACTTTTCTAAGCGCTTTGCATAAATAAACATCTTTAATGATGCTCTGAGGTTCATCCTATTATAACCCATTTTATAGGTGAGGAGACTGAGGCACAGAGAGGGAAAGTCGCTCATTTAAAATTCACACAGGTAACACGTGGCAGGGCCAGGGTTCACACCCAGGCTGCCTTGCTTGAACAACAGTTAATATTAAATAAATATTTTTAATATAAAGAAAGCCCTAACCGGTTTGGCTCAAGAAAGAAAGAATAATAAATATTCCTATTGTACCACCTTGGGTCTTGGCTGGCTGACTCCTGGGGTGGGAGGATGTGAGGTAGCTTTGAGTATATTCTTAGTGACCATATTAACTTGCTTGCCCTCCCAAAGGTGGGAGGTGAAACAAATGCTTTGCTTAAGGCTCCTCAGCTACAAAAAGTACCAGTCAACCTGAAAATAAGGGTGTACAAGACGATCCTTCCTGCACCCCTAAAAGTTTGGTTAAGAATCTGCCTGCAGAGAACTATCCCTGAAAGGTCCCCGATGTGTCCCCACCTGCCACACCTGCCAAGGTGGGCCAGGAATTCAAACAAACATTACACACAGCACAGGGTAAGTGGGCCTCTGCCCCGGCACTTGTCATGCTGCTCTATAAAAATGTAATTGTAATTAAATAGTTAGGTCTGTGATTATAGGTTTCCTATCCGTCTCTGCTACTGGACCACCAGCTCCAAGAGGGCAGGATTTCTGTCTGCCTTGCCCACTCTGCAGCCAGTGCCCGGCACAGAGCAGGCATTAGGGAACTACTTGCTCAATGACGGGATGAATGGATGAATGATGAATGAATGAATGACGAATGAATGCTAGAGGCAGGATATGAACTCAGACCTTCTACTCTGAACCTGGCGATCATCAATGGCACCCCACTGTCTTCCTGGGCAAACCTGGCATTTCCTTCAAATATGCGTGGCTTCCCTCAATTTGAGTTCCTTTTTTTAAATATCTTTTTTTTCAGCATAAATATTTGCTAGAGAAAGCTAGAAACTGCTGAAAAGTATCAAGACAAATATGAAAGCCATTTGTAGTTTCATCACCCAGACACAATTACTACTGGTGTTTGATATGTAGCTTTCTACTTTTAAAAATACAAATATAGCCCTAGCCGGTTTGGCTCAGTGGGTAGAGCATCAGACTGCAGACTCAAAGGGCCCAGGTTCAATTCCGGTCAAGGGCACATGCCTGGGTTGCAGGCTCGATCCCCAGTAGGAGTCCTGAAGGAGGCAGCCAATCAGTGATTCTCTCTCATCACTGATGTTTCTATTTCTCTCTCTTCCTCTCCCTTCCTCTCTGAAATCAATAAAAAATTAATTTTAAAAATACTAATACATAATTGTTAAGTTTGGGTTTGTAGGTTGTGTGTGGGGGGGTTAAGTTTTTTTGTGTGTTTTTTTTTTTACAAAATTAAGATTAAATTCCATCTTCTGCTTTGTACTCTGGTATTTTAAACTTAATGACAGAGTGGGAAGTCTCCCCTCAGCCCTGTCACTAGATGTCTCTGCAAGAAGGTGTGGGCGACACCCACAAGTGCCCTAGCCCACGAGAGGACTCCCCAGGAAGTGAGCCCAGGCTAGAGTTCCCAGAAAACACGAGGGACAGAGGAGCAGGTTAAGCGACACCACGAGGGAGCAAAGAGCCAGACCTCAAATGGAAGATATTCCATAGAACAAAGACCCAGTTTCTCCAACAAATTGATGGCAAGAAAAAAGAGAAAGGGGACCATTATAGTCCAGGGGTCCTAGGACTTTTTCTGGAAAGGGCCAGAGAGTAAATATTTCAGACTTGGTGGGCCACCAGGTGCTTAGGGTTTTCTATGCAAGCATCAACAGTAGTTCCCAGTCATGCCAGCTAACACGCAGATGTGCCTATCACTGCTTCACATGTCGTAGCTCATTCAGTCCTCCCGATAACTCAGTGAGGTGGACTGTTACTATCTCCATTCGACACACAGGGAAGTGCAGACCCAGAGAGCTGGAGTCACCGGTACAAGATCACAAAGCGACTGAGAAATAATACAAGTTAATGTTCAACCGAGGCCAGCGTTTGCCTATTTAATCCTTCTAATAGCCTATGAAGTAGACACGGTTTCACCTGTTTCCTAGGTGAGAAAGGGAGGCCCTGTGCCCTCGGTCACACCGCAGTGGGTTGCAGACCGGGATTCTAGCTTGATTCTGGGTCCTTAACACGCCCTACCCTACAGTAGTTACACCACGTCCCTTTAAGGAAAGTCCTGGGGGAGTCTAGAATACTAGAATATTCCAGGACAAGGTCTTCATTGAGCTTAAGTTTTTTTGTTTTTTGTTTTTTTTTTTAAATATATTTTATTGATTTTTTACAGAGAGGAAGGGAGAGAGATAGAGAGTTAGAAACATCGATGAGAGAGAAACATCGATCAGCTGCCTCCTGCACATCTCCTACTGGGGATGTGCCCACAACCCATGTACATGCCCTTGACCGGAATCGAACCTGGGACCCTTCAGTCCGCAGACCGACGCTCTATCCACTGAGCCAAACCGGTTTCGGCTTCATTGAGCTTAAGTTTTGAATAGATAATTCATTCATCACCTGCTCCAAAGAGATAAACTGAAGAGTCCCCCTCCCACCCTGGTTTCCAGCCACCCAGTTTTCAGACACAAAAGTCACGTCTGTGACTAGATCCTTCCGTATCCTCCCAGAGTGCCTTTGGGCCAGTGGTTCTCAACCTTCTGGCCCTTTAAATACAGTTCCTCATGTTGTGACCCCCAACCATAAAATTATTTTCGTTGCTACTTCATAACTGTCATGTTGCTACTGTTATGAATCGTCATGTAAGTATCTGATATGCAGGATGGTCTTAGGCGACCCCTGTGAAAGGGTCGTTCGACCGCCAAAGGGGTCGCGACCCACAGGTTGAGAACCGCTGCTTTAGGCAAACTTAAGTATATGTTCTTATTCTCATCCTTTTTATTTATACACGAATGCCGGTGTTGGCCAACTTCAGAATGCAGGCCAAATCTGGCCCGTGGCCTGTTTTGTAAATAACGTTTTCCTGGCAGTCAGACTCATTCCTTGATGTATTGTCTATGGCTGCTTTCAGGCAGAATTGAATAGTTGTGAGAGGCCCGACGACCAAAAACATTTCCTCTCTGGCCCTTTAAGCAAATGTTTGCTGACCGCTGCCTGAACTAAAGGAAGCAGCCACAGCCACTGTTGTGCAGTTTGCTTTTACCTCTTAGCCACACAACCCAGAAACCTTGCCATGTTCACGGCCGCACAGCATTTTGCCACGTGAATATGCTTTATGTGCGAGACACCTGGGAGGCTGCCAAGGTTCCCCTGCCACCAGCAGAACTGCAATTTGACACACTCGCCGCTTCCCACGTGGGTGAGGATGTTTGTGGGGTAAATGTCCAGAAACAGTTTTCTGAGTCTGGGTTCCTAGGGCGGCAGCGGTCAGGGAGGGGGATCAATGGGTGAACCCCCTGGAATTAAGTGGAGAAGGTGGCATACATGTGGGCATTTTTCTGGCCAGATCCTCAAAGAGCAAAGGGTTGGAGACTGTGGTTGGACCTGGGATCTGAGCGTGCGGATGGGGGCTTGTTCTGGGAAGTCCAGGGCCTACAGCCCAGCCGGGCACTCACCAAGGTCATCGGCGAGCCTCTGGCCGTCCTCCGCAAGCACGACACGCTCATCCTCCAGGTCACACTTGTTCCCCACGAGGATGACCTGAGCATTGTCCCAGGAGTAGGTCTTGATCTGGGTGGCCCTGTGGAGTTTGAGGGCTGTGAGGCCAGAGATTTGGGGTTCGGGGAGAGGGCAAAGGTCAGGGGATCAGTAGGCAGCAAGCACTCACCAGTCCTGCACGGCGGTAAAGGACTCCTGGTTGGCGACATCGTACATGAGCAGGAAGCCCATGGCTCCCCGGTAGTAGGCTGTGGTGATCGTCCGGTAGCGTTCCTGCCCGGCTGTGTCCTGGGGAAACAGTGGGGTCAGCCGACTAGGGAAGGGTCACCGCACCCCTGCAGGGCCTGCCCCCACTGCCCCAGTCTGATGAGAGAAACATGGGCCTGCCTCCATGTCTGATGGGAGAGACATGACCCTGAGCTTGAGGAATTCCCAGTCTGAGGGGTCGGTGCCTCTCACAGACTTATAAGCCCCTTTGACCTCATCTCCAAGAACCAACGTAATGACCACAAACAGGAGCCACCTGGGCTAGAGGGGACCCTCTTGATGCACACACCTGGCGCTCGTTACCCTGACAATTGTTACCAACGGCTGCACCCTGGGGGTGGGGTGGGGGTGAGGATGGCTCTGACACCTGGCGGGCTCAGTGGGGGCCTCTGGGCTCACACCTGAGACGTACCTAAATCCCTTTCCCATTAGTCACTAGGACTTCTAACTGCCTTGGGTTACTGCTGACTCGCCGTCAGACCTCACAGGGCAGGGCGCATCCTCTCGTCCTGATGAATTCGCCTCACAGATAATACTCCCCTACTCTTCACACCTACTCCAGGCCCCCTCCCCGACTCTGGGCTCCTCTCTCACTCGGGACCCCTTCCCACAGCCCTACACCTTCCCATGGGCGTCCCGCAGGCCCAGGAACAGCGGCAGGGCCCACCCAGATCTGCAGCTTGATCCTCTTGTCGTGGCGGTAGACGGTCTTGACCTTGAAGTCAATGCCCACGGTGCTGACGAAGGCGGGTGTGAAGGAGTCGTCTGCGTAGCGGAACAGGAAGGACGTCTTGCCCACGCTGCTGTTGCCAATGAGCAGGAGCTTGAACATGTAGTCGAAGTTCTGGTCTGCTGCATCACGGGGGCTGGTGGGGGGGTCTCCCGCTGATGCCATCCTGGGGGGAAGCCTCCTGTGGGGGAGGCCTGGAGCCCTGCAGGGAAACAAAAGACAAGTAACCTGGGTTCAAATCCCGCTTCTGCCACTTGGAGGCCAAGCGACTCAGGATGCATCAGTTGCTCTCTGCAGGACTCAGAAAAGGGGGATGTTTGGCAAACGCAAGGGCCCAGGTTGGGGGGCGCATGGGGGCCTCCTCTGGCCGCTGAGGAACCAGACCCTGCGAAGGTGCAGGTGTGGACTTTGCCCCCTGGTGAGCAGCCAGTGTGGCCCAGGTGTGAGCTGGGGGAGGGGGCCTGCCAGCTGGATAGAGCCCCCCCTTCCCCCTGCAGGCTGGGTGTTGACTTTGGCAGGTGTCAGCCACCACCAGGGTGCCTGCCCTGCCCCCATCCAAGCTGAGCTTAATCCCCAGGGGAGGGGATTTCAGTAGGTTCAGCCCAGGGATAAGCCGAGCTCTGCCCTCTGCCCGGGCAGTGGGTACTGCCACCTCCTGTTTGTCAAAGGGGCCGGGCCCATTTCGTTCTGGATAGAGCTGACTCAGTCCAGCCCCAGCCCAGGGAGGCTGGGGTGATGGTCCTCAAACAGAAGGAAACCACCCCAGCCACCTAATCATCAGGAACCCTACTGCCAGGACCGCCACTCCTGGTCCTGTCCTTCCTGGCATCGTGTCCCCACAGCGGGGCTGCCTCACCTGGGCCCAGGACAGCCGCTCAGCCCTCGGGGCCTCCCTAGATCTCAGCTGCCCCAGCTGTCTACCGCCGCCCCCTGAGCCACACAGGGAGGTTCCAGAAGACCTGGGTGAGCGGGGGACACACCTCGCAAAGCTCTTTCTCAACTGCCTGTGGGGCTTCTTTCCATTTTAAAGGACACAGCCGGCCCCCCTTTCTGCCCAGCCCTCAGCCCCACCCCATGTTCCGGGAGAACGAGTTTGAGGGGAAGACAAGAGACAGGAAGCCTTTCCCCAAGCTGGGCAGGGCTGCCAGGCTGGGGCCCCGTCCCCGCCCCACCCCCAGCCCACCTGTCAGCAGGCCCCATCCTCCCTCGCCCCGCACTTGGTAAGGGTCCCGGGATCTGGCCCCTTCCCTCTCCGCTGGGTTTGGGGGGCCCCAGCCGGTGCAGGGTAGCTCTGGAGCGTCCTCCCATCACCATATGGTCCCATCTCCCGTTCCCAGCGGGGCTCCCGGAGCCGCCCGCGTCCCATTCTCGTTCTCCGAGGAGCCCAGCTGGGTGGGGGCGAGGGAAGAGGCGTCCCCCGCTGCCCGCCTCTGTTCCCCCGGGGCCTCCCCCAACCCCCTGGTCCCCCCCAGACCTGATGGGACGCGGAGGTGCGGGGCGAGGTGCGCTCCCTCCGAGGGGGTCACCTCGAGTGGGTCGTTGCCCGCGGGGTTTCCGCCTCCGAACTCACTGCGGCCTCGACCGCGACCGCGACCGCGACCCCGACCCCGCAGCCTCTGCCACCGCCGCTGCAGCCCGCAGCCACCCGGATCCCGCGCCGGCTCCGCCCAGGCGGGGAAGGAGGGGCCGCTCCCGTGGGAGGGGCGGGCGGGGCGGGGCCGAGTCCGGGGCGGGACTTGTGGAAAGTGAGGATAGCGGCTGGAAGCGGCGCCGCGCGTGCAGAGGTCTGGAGCTCACCCCCCAACAATAAACTACTTCGAGAACTCCTACTATGTGCAGAGCGATTGAGCGCGCGGATTCTGGAGCCAGGTTCGAATCCCAGCTCCTCTGCTTTCTTTTTTTTTTATTATTTATTTTTAAAATATATTTTATTGATTTTCTACAGAGAGGAAGGGAGACAGATAGAGAGTTAGAAACATCGATCAGCTGCCTCCTGCACATCTCCTACTGGGGATGTGCCAGCAACCCAGGTACATGCCCTTGACCGGAATCGAACCTGGGACCTTTCAGTCCGCAGGCCGATGCTCTATCCACTGAGCCAAACCGGTTTCGGCTCCTCCGCTTTCTATCCCTGTGACTTTGGAGAAGTTACTTAACCTCTCTGGGCCTCAGTTTCCCCAACAGTCAAATGATTGATGACAAGAGTCTCCCCTCACAGGGTTGTGTATGGGTTCTGGTCTGAATTAGTGTTTGTAATTGCAGCGCGCCTGACCCTAAAGTGGGCTCAATCCCTTCGCCAAATACTCTTAAGGGCCCTTGGAATTAATTTCCACTTTATGGATAAGGAAACTGAGTCTCAGGATCAGCTCCTTGGCCGAGGCCACACAGTATGGAAATTTGGCACACCCAGCCCTAACTGAGGTCCTAGAGTTTTCTTTATGCCAGCAGGAGAGGATCTGCAGTTATAATAGTTTAGGCTTTACTGGTGTTCAACTTCCAACAACTCCACCTGAAGCCACTTGTTGAACATCTCTGAGTACCACTGCTTCATGAGAACAGCAGCTGCCTCTAAGGACTGCCATGAGAATGAACAAAAATGACATGCATCAGTCAGGAAGGAGTGGCATGTGCTCAGTAACAAGCGGCCCCAAAACATTTAAGGTTTGCTTCTCACACTGGTCATTGTGGAGAAGGGAAAATGTGGCAAACCATGCACTGGCTTGTATAATAGTCCTCCCTTACCCAGAGCTTCCTTTCTGTGGGTTCAGTTACCCACAGTCAACCACTGTTTGAAAATATCAAATGGAAAATTCTGGGCTAAACAATTTCTCAGTTTAAAATTGTGTGCCATTCTGAATAGCATGATAAAATCTCGCACTATCTTGTTCCATCCAACCTGGACGTGAATCACCCGTGTCCACCATGTCCACGCTGTGGACACTCCCCACCCATTAGTCACCTAGTAGCCATCTCAGGTATTAGATCAAATGTCATGGTATCACAGTGCTTGTGTTCAAGTAACCCTTATTGTACTTAATAGCCCCGCCACTGTTGTCCAGTGGTTGAGTGTCAACCCATGCACCAAGAGGTTGCCAGTTCAATTCCCGGTCAGGGCACATGCCCAGGTTGCAGGCTTGATCCCCAGTGGATGGCGTGCAGGAGGCAGCCAGTCCATGTTGATGTTTCTCTCTCATGAATGTTTCTATCTCCCTCTCCCTTCCTCTCTCTCTAAAAAAAAAAAAAAAAAAAAAAAAAAAAATTAAAATTTTTTGTAGCCCTAACTGGTTTGGTTCAGTGGATAGAGCATCAGCCTGCAGACTGAAGGGTCCCAGGTTTGATTCCAGTCAAGGGCATGTACCTTGGTTGTGGCCACATCCCCAGCGGGAGGTGTGCAGGAGGCAGCTGATCGATGTTTCTCTCTCATCGATGTTTCTAACTCTCTATCCCTCTCCCTTCCTCTCTGTAAAAAATCAATAAAATGTATTTTTAAAAAAAATTTTTAAAACTAATAATGACCCGAAAGCACAAGAGTAGAGAAGCCATAAAATGCTTTAATTGAAAGTATGTGTGTATAGGAAAAAAACATAATATATATAGGATTTGGTACTATCGATAGTTTCAGACAATCATGGGGTCTTGGAATGTATCCCCCATGGATAAGGAGGGGACCATTGTACCCTTCTCCCTCTTTTTTTTTTTTTTAATCCTCATCCGGGAATATTTTTCCATTGATGTTAAAAGAGAGTGGAAGGAAAGGAGGAGGGGAGAGAGAGAAACATCGGCTCATTAATTGGTTGCCTCCTGCACGCGTGCCCTGACCAGGGCTGGGGATCGAACCTGTAACCGAGGTACATGCCATTGACCAGGAATCGAACCCAAGATCCTTTGGTCCAAGGGCTGACGCTCTCACCACTGAGAAAAACGGGCTAGGGTGTACCCTTCTCTTTGGAAATGACTATTGGGGTCTGTTTACATTTCACTGGCCAAAGCAAGACACATGGTCACCCCCAATTCAATGGGGTTGGAAATATGCTTGTCCCCTAGGGATCAGAACCAGCTATTGTTACAATAATATATGGTACCAGTATGTGCAATGATTAGCTCCATGCTTGGCACACAGTGGGTGCTCAACAAATGGGCACTGTTATAGGAAGAGCTTAGGGGCTGCAGTAGCTAACACTCCAAATCATCATGGGGAGTATGAACGGAGAAATAGAGGCCCTCGCTTCCATTCTTGTCCACCTTTCCCCCTGCTTCCCAGTTGGAGAAAAAAGCACAGCAGCCATTTCCAAAGACGGGTTTATTGAGATTTGGGGCGCCAGCAGAGACAAAGAAGCAGTGGGTGCTACAGGCTCCTGAGATTCAGGGCAAGGCCAGCAAGACAGAGCCCATTGCTCAGGAGGCAGCCCAGGTTGCAAATGGAGGACAGGCCATGGTAGCGGAAGAAGATCTGGCGGAGGGCACTGTACTTGGGATCCTGCTCCCGCAGCTGGCGGTAGAGGTCAGGGCCCTGGTGGCGGCCTGGTACCTCCCCACCCAGGCCCTGCTTCTTCTCCACGGTCTGCAGGGCCCACATGGCAGCTGTGGTGCGAGGCTCCAGCCAACGGGCATTGATGGTGGCAAGTGTGAGACTCAGGAACAACAGGCAGAGCTGTTGGAAGTAGTGGGAGGTGAGCGTGCCGGGAAGGCAGGAGGGGCCCTGCAGAGGGTCCTTCTGCACCCTCAAAGTCCCGAGGGGCTGGGGGACAGCAGAGGGTCAAAGCCAGGCCTCCCCCTCCTCCCACAACCCAGATTAGGGCCCCCCAACCAGAGCTCCAGCTCAAATAACCTGAAGCTGGCAGGAAAAGCACCTCCTTTATCCCCCCTAAAACCTTCTGAGTCTCCTCTTCTATGATATTCAGACTGGAAGTTTCCAGAACACAGCCTTGTCTCCTCTTTTCCCACAAACTGACGATATCTCAGAGCAGAACCTCTCTTCCCCAAATTGGAACAGCACAATAACTGTCCCCTCGTTCCCCCAAAATAGAGAGAGAGCCTAAGACAGGGTCCATCTCCTCTGTGGCCCCAGCCCAGATCCCAGAAGCTGACATTGGGCCCACAGGGAGTGAATAAAAAGCCCTTAAAGTTCTAGTTACCCATAATACTCTCTGGTCTCTATGGGATTATTCTTGAAACCCCTGTCAGGCTTTACCTGCCCACATATGAGGAACACAATGAGGGCAGTGGGAGGGCGGGATAGAGAAATATGAGATGCAGAGATGGTCGCTTGCCTGGTAGTTGGGAAAATGTGTGGATGGGGGTGGGGGACTTTAAATTCCCAGTCTGGCTCGTTTTTAAACAATGAGCTGGGGTCAGTGCCCCAGCCCAGCTGAGTCACCACCGCTTGGCAGCAGGCCCAACCAGAGGGAGGAGAGGGAGCAGCAGCCAGCAGACAGACAGGGGGAATAGGGTAGACAGGGCTGCTGGGGATGGCTGTGCAGGCTGGGTACTGCTCTGGGTATCCAGAGCCCAGCTTTGTATCCACCAGGAAGAAGGCACAGTTTTGTTGTTGTTTAATTCTCACAACGGAGGGCCCCTAGGTGCTCAGTGGGGTACTGGGAATAAGTCTTCCGAGGGTAGTGAAGCCCAAGTCTGCATACCTGGCTGGTCTCCCAGAAGGTGAGCTGAGACCAGGGGTGTTGTGGAAACAAGATGCAGAAGTTGACGAAGGCACAGCCCATGGAGATGTGAAAGTAGAATGGGAAGAGTTTGCTCTGCACGAGGCCGAAGGTATGTCGTGGAAGGCCTCGGAAGAGCAGGAAGCCTGTGGAGTGCAGGGGACCACACGTCCGTTAGGATACTCCAGGTCCGGCCCTCATTCCTGTCCCCGCCCTGGGTATCCATGACGTCCAGAACGAGGGTCCCTACCTGAGACGAAGGTCACCCATATTTGCATGCCCCAGGCCCCAGACAAGACCAGCAGATGGACCACCTTAGTCAGGCTTGCCGGGTTCCCGCCTTCCTCCATCTTGCAGGCCTGGGAAGGAGGTACCGGGTGGCTCAGAGCTTTACCTTTGGCCTTCAGCCCCTGGGAGCCTGCGCAAGGCCAGGGTCACCGCCAATCCAGCAGATATGCAGGGATGGCAGCCCAGGAATAGGGGTCGGGCCCTGCGACAACCCGACCCCATCTCTCTCAATGTCGGCCCTCAAGATCTCAGACTCTCTGGACCCCAACATCCATGCCACCTCCGACACCCCCAAGTTTCAGCCCCACCAGCTCAAGCTCATACCCCTAGACTCTAGAGCGTCTAAGATCACCTCAGTGACACTCAAATATCACCTCGGGGTCCCAGTTCTAACAACAAAGAATCCTGCTCCCATAACAAGATCCAGATATCTATATGAAGGTCCCCAAAGCACCCCGGCTCCATCTAATCCTGGGAAACCCCCAAATCTCATCCCGAAGACACCGATCCCGCCAGTAGGAATCGGACTTCAACCCGCAATACCCAGGCGTCCGAGACCAGAGGCGCCGGGGCCGATCTTGGGGGCCAGCGGGCTGGGCTCGGTACTGCACTCCCGGGATCCCCACCACCTCTCCTCGTGGGACCGAGAACTCGTCCCGCCTCCCAGCTGAACCCGAAGCCAATCTAATCGTAATCTGCTGCCTCCTGTACCGCCCCATTGGATATGGACTAATCGATTAGCAGAAACCTGCCTGAAGCCCCGCCCCTCTCCGGGATTTTACTCAATTACGCGGCGGCTCCCAAGATCTGCGGAAGCGGGAAGGCGCCAATGAGGCCTTGGGTTGCAACGGAGGGGCGGGGCTAACGTGCCGGCCACGCCCCTCTCTGTGACTCCGCGTTTGGGCTCCGCGCGTTTTAAAGTGATGGTGTCCCCACAGGATCAAATTTCAGCGTCACAGCTGGGGACTGGCTTCGCGGTTCCTGATGGGAGAGCATGAGCAGGTGCTATGTGGTAGGTGGGGGTGGGAAGGGGTCGGAAGCCTGTGGGGCGCAGGATTCAAGGCCCGGGGGGCGGGGCCCAGGTTAATGACACCCCGCCCTCTCCCCAAGAATTCTCCCTGGAGGGACTTCGGGAGGAACAGCTGATGTGGGAGGGGAAGGGGGTTCTGCTTGCAGGTGGCACTCAGAAATGGGTCTTCCCTCCTCCAATCCTCTCAGGGCTCCTATATGAGTCCCAGGTCCCAAGTTCTCAGTGTGACATTCAAGGACATACACTGAGTTTCCCACTACTGTGTGCTCAGCACTGGCATGGATTACTCTACTTAATCACAGCAGCTCAACGATGTGGTAGTGACATCCCGTTTTTAGAGTTGGGGACACTAAGGCATGGGGAGGTTCAGTAGCTCTTCCAACACCACACAGCTAGGAAGGGGCAGGGCGAGGACTTGAGCCCACACCATCCAGCCAGAGCGTGTCCACTGCCTCTTGTGTGAAGACCGAATGAGTGCTGATGGTGGTGCCCCGCGCTCAGTGAGGTACTCAGAAAATAGGAGCTTAAAAATGGACCAAGGGCCCTGGCCGGTGTGGCTCAGTTGGGCGGGCATCCTCCCGTGCACTGAAAGGTTGCGGGGTTTTCCCTGTCAGGGCACAGGCCCAGGTAGCGGGCTTGATCCCCAGTAGGGTTCATGAAGGAGGCAGCCGATCCATGTTCCTCTTTAACATCAGTGTTTCTTTCTCTCTCTCTCTCTCTCTCTCTCTCTCTCTCCCCCTTTCCCTTCCTCTCTCTCTGAAAATCGATTAAAAAGGATTAAGGGCCCCAGCCGGTGTGGCTCAGTTGGTTGAGCATGTCCCATGCACTAGAAAGTCAGCAGTCCCCGTCAGGGCAGGTTCGGGGTTGTGGGCTGGATCCCCGCTAGGGGTCGTGCAGGAGGCAGCTGATCGATGCTTCTCTTTAACATTGATGTTTCTCTCTCTCCCTCACCCTTCCTCTCTCTCTCAAATCAGTAAAGACATATTTTTTAAAAACGGGTTAAGGAAGCTTTTACAGAGCAGATGCTGAATAGGGTTTTGAAGGGCGCATAGCAGTCTTCTAGGACTGGGCAGAGGACGGACACTAGAGGACTCAGAAAGGCCTGTAGAGCGTGGCCTTTCTGTCTGAGTGTGACCCAAGGCAAGATCCCCTGCACCTGGCAGTTTTTCCAGACAGCTCTGTCCCACATGACTCCATCTGTTCCCAGCCCCACTTAGCATGGGCCTGGGCCCCCATTCAGCTAATACCTATTGAATAGATGTGCCTTGCCTCTCCTGTTCACACACTATGGCTCCCATTTATCTGGGGAACCAGGTCCAAACTTCTCTGCTTGGCTTTCAATGCCTTGCTTGAGCTGCCCTGCTAATCTCCTACTGTTTCCTCTTGGACTCTGCCTCCAACCGGCCTGAATTTATCATCACAGAGCACATGGTTCCACACCTCCAAGCTTGGTACATGCTCTTTCTTTTCTTTTTCTTTCTTTTTTTAAAGAATAGTTTATTGATTTTTAACAAATATTTTATAAATCTATTTTTTATTGATTTCAGAGAGGGAGAGAGAAACATCCTATATAATAAAGAGGTAATATGCAAATTGACCCACAAGATGGCTGCGCCCACAGCGGAGGCGGGGTTCCCATAACGAGCCATAATGAGCGATCAGCAGGGACCTGAAGCTGTGTGGCACCAGGCCGGGGTGGGGGACCTGAGGCTGCGCCCCTCACCTGGTGGAGCTTGACAGGGGACCTCAGGCTGTGCCCCCTTGCCCAGTGGGGCTTGACGGGGGACCACAGGCCACGCCCCCATGCCCGGCAGAGCTTGATGGGGGACCTCAGACTGCGCCCCTGGCCCCAGAGGGGCTTGAAGGGAAACCTCAGGCCATGTCCCCCACCCGGGGGGGCTTGACAGGGACCTCAGGCTGTGCCCCCCATCCCAGCACCAGGTCAGGGGACCTGAGGGTGCACTGGGGGATCTGAGGCTGCACCCCCCACCTGGCACCAGGCCGGGGGACCTGAGGCTGCACCCCCCCTCCCAGCAGGGCTTGATGGGGCCCTGAGGCTGCACCCCCTACCCGGCGGGGCTTGACAGGGGAACTGAGGCTGCGTCCCCTGCCTGGCGGGGCTTGATGGAGGTGGGGCTGGCCAGGTCTGGATCTCTCGCAATTTCAAGGTGCATGCAGCTGGGCGGGGACTTGACTCTGGGTCCTGTGGTGTGCCCCAGACTCTGACAGGAGGAAGATTTTCATATACATTTTACTAATTTTCTTTCATCTCTGACACTTCTATTATAGAGAAAGGGCAAATAGCAATATTAAAATATTTCCTCTAATTCCCTTTCATGTGCATGAATTTCGTGCACCAGGCCACTAGTCAATGATAAGAGAGAATCATTGATTGGCTGCCACCTGCATGCCCCCAACTGGGGATCTAGCCTGCAACCAGGGCATCTGCCCTGACCAGGAATCTAACCAGAAACCTTTTGGTGCATGGGACAACGCCCAACCAACTAAGCCACACGGGCTAGGGTTGCACATGCTGTTTCCTACCAGGGCCCAATGTTAAGATTTTTTTTCTTTTAGACTCTTCTGAGACCTCACTTTCTCCTGTGGGGTCTTCTGGGTCCTTCTCACTGCCCATCCCAATCCCTGGGGCTGGGATCATCTTTTATCCTGTTCCTACCATAGCTGGAGGCCCTGTGTTCAGGGCTGAGGCCTCTGTGAGGTGTCAGGAAGGGTCTGGCAGTGTCGGGACATGGGGGCTGGTCTCAGTGCAGCCCCCTGTCCTGTCCTTCCTACTCGAAGCGACCCTGTTCTGGCCGGCCTGCCCCGGGACTCTGACTACTCTCTGCCCTGCTACTGCTCATCTCTGTCGACCTCCAACTTGTGTTCGCTTGATCACAGCAAGTGTGACAAGTACTGGGGTTCGTTGAGGGGCTGCTCCAGAGCTGGGGAGCTGGGAGGGGCTGAGTGCTCTGAGCTGGCCCTCAGGAAGCCCTCGTTCACCCACTCCCAGGTACTTCCTCAGATAAGAACTTGGACTATACCATTTACTGGTCCAGCACTCCAGAACCAGAGACCTCGGGGCCAGCTGCTTCAGAGAACACAGTGACAAATACAGACTGGAAGCCAGGGAGGGACTCAGGGCCTCAGTCGCTTGGGTCTCCCCACTCCCCCAGCTCAGACTCACAAGAATGCTGTAATGACCAGGAACTTGTGAAGAAGCATCCGAGTGTCACTAAGGTTACCCACACCCTGGAACACCCTTCCTGCTGCCCCACAATCTATTGCTGCAGGGCTTGGTTGGGGGGACAGGGAGGTCCTCAGCACCCAGAACACCTCCCAGTGCTCAGCAGGCCTGCAATGAATATATCTTAATGGATGAGGGAATGAATGGAATGGATGTGGGATTGTGTGTCTTAGTGGAGTCTTTTCTGTAATTGTCTCTGGGTATGACTGCTGGTGTGTCTGGGTCTGGTTATGTATCTGAGATGAGTGTGCATGGATGCCCTGGGTCTTATGACTTGGAGTGCATGACTGTGTTTGAGTTTATGTAGCTGTGGTTGTTCTGGGATTACCCATGGCTATGTGTCTGTGCTATTGGTGCTGCCTGCAGACATTGTCAATGTCGTTTGCCCCTGAAGAGGAGGGCCATTTTCTGAGCCCAGTCCAGAGAGAGGACTTTGCAGGTGCATGCTGTCAGGGGCAGCCCAGAGGCCCACCCATGTAGGGTACAAGCCACAGGAGTGCACTTCTGAGCATGTGCGGATATGCCTGCACTCGGGGTCTGGGACACCCAGAACTCAGCAGATTCAACTCATGTCCAAACACTGGGTTGGGGGGGAGCAAGGAGGCAGCCCAGGGGTGAATTTCTACTGCCCTCATATTCCCCTATCCTAGAAACCATTGGAGACCAGCTCTTCCAAAATCAAAGGTGAGAACCCTCCCTCCTAACAAGACTGTGTGTGCAAGACCTGCTGGTTCCTTCTTCCACCCTCTGCCCCAGCCTCTGTGGAACCCTGCCATTGCTGCCCGCTCAACCCTGCCCCAGCATCAGCTGCCCCTTGCCCCTGACCTTGCCCTCTATCCCAGTCCCTGATCTTGACCCCTACTCCAGCCTCTACCTCAGGCTCTGTGATCCCTGCTCCTGCCCCCACCCTTCCCAGCTTGGCTGACCCACACTTCTGCTCATAGGTAAGTCCACCATGATGATTCCTGACACCCAGAAGCTCCTGCAATGCGAACTGGAGTCACTCAAGAACCAGCTACAGGCCCAGACTAAGGTTAGCCTCCTCAGCCAGCCCTGGGCCCAGCAACCTCTGTCCCTTTCTCCTCCCCATCCTGCCTCCAGGCATGACCTCTTCCCCCACAGGCTTTTGAGTTCCTAAATCACTCAGTGACCATGTTGGAGAAAGAGAGCTGCCTGCAGCAAATCAAGATCCAACAGCTTGAAGGTGAGGACTGGCCTGAGGTCAAGGTCAGGCCGGGGGCTGTCAGGGTCAGCTGGGTCAGAGTGAGAGCAGTGGGTGAGTCTGGATTCAGGCTTGGGATCCAGCCAGGCTAGGGCAAGTGGGTTCAAAGCTGCGCTTTGTGTGATTGGGCCTCAATCAAGCTCCCACTGTTTCTGAAGAAGTCCTGAACCCCACGAGCCAGCAAACAGAGGGGAAAAAATGGAACATGGATCAGGGACAGCGGGAGCTATATGGGGCCCTGGCGCAAGGCCTGAAGGGGCTACAGAAGACTGTGCGGGAGAGTGAGGAGGTGCAGAAAACCCGCACTACCCGCTACCTGCAGCTGCTGGCCCAGGAGATCCGAGACAGGTGAGTGTGCCAAGGGGGGAGGCCTGGAGGCTGTGGGAGGGAAGGAAGCCCAAGATGGGGAAAATAGGGGAGGCCTGAGTAAGGATGATGGGGGGTCATGGGAGGCTTAAAGGACAAAAGGAGCAGATGGTAGGGGCGAAGACAGGTTGCAGTGTTTGTGTGTGGGGAGACTGGGAGGCCAGAAGGCAGGGAAGACAGGAAGCTGGAGGTAGGCTGGGAAGGAGGTGGGAGGATCAGGGAACTGGGGGGTGGAGAGGTTGATGGGGGCTGAGGCTGGGAATATGGGAGGTCAGGGGTGAGGAAGGTAGAGAGATGGAGGCCAGGCAATAGGAAGCTGAGGGAATGGGAGGCTGGAGGTCAGGAGGAGAGGGCTGGGGCTGGGGGAGGAGAGGAGGGGGAATGGTAGTTGGAGGGTAAAGGTGGGTGGGCAACTTGGGGAGGGGTGGAGCCTGGGGGAAATGGGTGGTTGAACAGATGGGAACACGGGAGGCGGAGGAGGTTTGGAGAGGCAGGTGGGCAAATTGTGAGACCAGGAGGCCAGGGACTGGGCAGGGGCTGTGGGCCTAGGCTGCATTATCCCCTCAGCAAGAAATTCCTGTGGGAGGAGCTGGAGCTGGTTCGGGAGGAGGTGACCTTCATCTATCAGAAGCTCCGTGAGTGCCTGGAGCCCACGGGGGTGGGGGGAAGGGTGGGGGTGTCCTTCTGCTGCCTGGCCTCCCTGAGCCCCCGCCCCTCACAGAGGCACAGGAGGAAGAGATCACTGAGAACCTGGTGAACATCCAGAAGGTGCAGAAGACCCAGGCGAAGTGCCGCAAGGTGAGAGGGGAGGACAGGGACCCCACATGGGGTGGGGACATGGGGATCTCTGCCGGCCTCCACCATTGGACTGGAGCCAGAAGGCCTGGACATAAATCTCAGCTCTGCTACTTACGGCTGTGTGACTGTGGGCAAGTTTCTTCACCTCTCTGGGCCTCATTTTCCTCTTCTGTGTAATGGATAAAACACACACATCCCTACCTGAAGGGGTAGCTGCATGTCATGGTCACCTTGCACCGTCATTTTATTACTACTGCTCTTCTCTCTTCCCCCCTACCCCTGTCGGAGCCCCAGGTCTTGACCAAGATGAAACAACAGGGGTGTGAGACAACCAACTGGCTGGAGACAGAGGAGATGCCATCAGGAGGGAATGGCTCTTGGAGGAGTGACCTCCAGAAGGAGCTGAGTGACATATGGTGATGCCCAGCCCCCACTCTGACTTCTGACCCCTGACCCTCATCTGCCCTGCCCTGCCCCCAATCTGATCAAACAGTGACCACCAGAACCTAGAAGCCATCTGAGTCCAGACCTCCATCTCCAAGCAGGACTCTCTTCCTCCTCTGCCCCCCTAACACCCCCGTGCCCGAGCCTCAGGCAGTCCAGAGTCACCTGGGGGCCCCAGCTCCCCATCTTCCTACAGGTCCGCCGTGCATACGCTGCAGAACTCCTTTGATGGCTTCACCATGTCCTCGGGAATCCGCCCCAAGACTGGGAGCCTCCGGGGTGAGAGGGACTGAGCCATGCTCCAGGGTGGGTGGGGTCATTCTCCAGCTTCACACATGGAGGTCATGTTCAGAGGCCATATTTGGAGGTCACATCTGTTGAGTTTCATTTTTTTAAATATATATTTTTATTGCTTTCAGAGAGGAAAGGAGAGGAAGAGAGAGATAGAAACATCAATGATGAGAACGAATCATTGATCGGCTGCCTCCTGCATGCCCCCCACTAGGGATCAAGCCCGAAGCTCAACCACTGAGCCATGTCAGCTGGGCGGGTTTCATTTTTTTTAATAATATTTTTTCATTGATTTCAGAGAAGAAGGGAAAGGGAGAGAGAGATAGAAACATCAGTGATGAGAGAGAATCATTGATTGGCTGCCTCCCTCATGCCCCCTACTGGCGATTGAGCCAGCAATCCAGGAGGAACTGCCACCCTCCTGGTTCATAGGTTGACGCTCAACCACTGAGCCACACCAGCCAGGCCACATCTGTTGGATTTTAATCTGGGGTCACATTAAGGAGTCCCTGGAGGTTTCATCTAGGGGTCACTCAGGGTCACCTGGATGTTTTTTAAGGACCATTGGTGTAAAATTTAAGTGTCACATTGGGTCACATTCAAGGGACATGATCAAGGGACCCTGGTTCAAGGGTCACATTCAGGGTTCATGCATGGAGAGCCAGAATGGCACCTGTCCCTGCAGGCTACAAGGGGCACAGATGCCTGAGTCCTCCGCTTCACTCTTGGGACTCGGACTCGGACTCGGACCAGGACCGTTCCCAGCCACCCTTCAACAAGAGCCGCTCCTTCCCATCAGGTGTGGCTCCTCCCCTGCTCCGCCCACCTTGCCCCTCCTGACCAGCCCTCGAATCCCACAGTATGGACCCTCCCAGCTCCCAACCTGGGCTCCTGCACCCTGACTGCCACCCCTGGGTCCCCTGGACCAGACCTGGCCCTTACCCATCCTGTCTCCCCACAGCTTGAGCAGCCGGGTTGCTCTCCACGAAGACCCCTCCAGAGAGAAAATAAACTAGCCGAGACCCTCCTCCACCTGTGGACTGTTGCTCCTGTTGCTTCTGTGCCTGAGAATGAGCCACCCCCATTTACTCGCCAGTGTTGGGGCGGGCATGGAGATCCCAGGGGCTGTTGGGGATGTATGAACTTAGGGTCAGAGTACAGTGTGAGGCCAGATTAGTATATGACAAGTCCTGGGTTGCTCTGTCCAGATATGAGTGGCTAGACATGCGGTTTCACACTAGCCACCAGCCTTCCTTTCCAGGGGGCTTTGGCGATCTGGCCCTACTGCCCAAATGGGGAAACCGAGGCCCAGAGAGGGAGCGTGGTGGCCCAGGTCATGCTCTGACACTCCGCCCTCCTCTTCCCCTCAGCGCCTACCCTCACCCAAAGTCCTCCCTCTTTTTTTTTTTAATTTGTTTACTGTACACTACAATTAAGGTACTTGTTCTTTTTAAAAAATTTTTTTATTGATTTCAGAGAAGGGAGAGGGACAGAGAATCAGTGATCGGCTGCCTCCTGCATACCCTCACTGGGGACCGAGCCCGCAACCCGGGCATGTGCCCTTGACTTGAATCAAACCTGAGACCCTTCAGTCCGCAGGCAGATGCTCTATCCACTGAGCCAAACCGGCCAGGGCCAGAGTCCTCCCTCTTAACCTCCATCCTTCATTCCCCCTCAATCTGCTCTAACACGCCCCGCCCCAAAGAACAACCGAGGCTCCGCCCAGATCATGCTAATAAGACGTCTCGATACCCCGCCCACTGTGTTATGCAAATAAGGCGCCCGAGGCCACGCCCCTCGCTCCTTCGCGGAGTCTGCGCGGCGCAGAGCCGGGCCGACAGCATCTCCATTTGTGCGTCCACCCGCCCGCCTGCCAGGCCAGCAATCAGTCGGTCCGGCCGCGCTGGTGACGTCTAGGCGAACCCGGAGCTCAGGTGGCAGAGCCTCTACCCGGTGAGGGGGAGGGGCCTGAAGTGTCCCTTGTAGCCCTTCTTTCGGGCTTCGACCCTCGGTCTCTGTCTGGTCCGGGTTCGGATCTGTGGGTCCGGTCCCCTGCGGGTCCAGCGTGGGAAGGGGGAGGGGAAGCGAGGAGCTTGGGGACCGGGCTGGGGAGGGGGCATGGGAGGGGATCTGGGCTTGAGAAGCCAAGAGGTGGTGGTGAGGGTGACTGGGATTGTATGGCTGTAATGATATGTCAGTGTGTGGTTGTGTAACTGTCATTTTGTGTCTGTATAGCTGTGATTGTGTGGCTTCTGAAGTGTGTGTGGTGTGTGTG